TTTTGGCTTGAAAGGCCCAATGGGGCGATGCTTTCAACAGCTGATTAGTTTAAGGTCACAAATAAAGCTCTCCTCCCTTAAATCCACACCGACCAAGAAACGCACTTCAAATTTGATTTAAGTCAAAATGACTTCCTCTGAGCGAATTCTTTTCCTTTAAATGAATTCCTTTTCCAGTTTTGGATCCGACACTCCAACACCGAATACTTAAACTGTTCTTCTGTTAAAGGCATTTACCATAATTCAGCAGGTTTTTGCATTCAGTAGGCATAATTCTACAGCCTTTTGGGGCTCTATCACTCATCGATAAGGTGCCACTGACCGTACCCCCTTTCTCATAGATACATCTTCTTTTTTTGCAGAATCTGAATCGCATTTATGATGTAAATGTGCCGCTGGTACTAATGAATTCTTTCAACACCGATGAAGATACGAAGAAATTGCTTAGGAAATATAAGAACGTACGCGTCGATGTGCACACATTCTGTCAATCCAAATATCCACGAATATCCAAGGAATCACTCATGCCCATCGTCAAAAGTGTCACAGAGGGTGATCTTGAAGGGTACTGTGCTGTTCTGTCTGTCCGATTATACTGTGTTCACTATAGAAGCGATTTCATAGTAACGACTTAAATTTTTACCAAGCAAATAAAGCCACTCATTCAGAAAAGTAGTCTAAGATTAACCAGAAACTTGGGATAACATTAGGGAGATAAAAATTTCAAAATTTACCAGTTATTCAAAATGCCTGAAACCTGTGAATTGTTTCTACAATATATATGAAAGGTGTAAAGGGATAAATTTTTGGGAATAGTGGTATTTCTTCCAGAATTAAAAATCCTTCAAACTTTACGATTGTAGATGGTATCCGCCAGGTCATGGTAACTTCTATGAAGCTTTCTACAATTCCGGACTTCTGGACAAATTTCTTCACGAGGGAAAACAGGTATGCAGCCTTTCAGCGTTTTCTAACGACAATTCTGAGACGACTGCCAGCTGCTCTGATGCTTCGAAGGTACGTCATGATGAAACAATAGCTGATCAAAGTGCTGAAGCAAAATATCAGGGCAATTGCTAGGTAGCAGAATCGTCACAGCTTAAGGTAAATAGCACTGCGCTATTTTAGTTCTGCTTCCTGTCGAACATCGATAATATGGGAGCTACGGTTGATCTAAACATACTGAATTTTATCACACGAGGATCTGATGGCGATCAACCAGAATTCGTCATGGAAGTTACCGACAAAACACGTGCCGATGTTAAGGTTTGTCTATTTCACAATTTTTTTTT